AAAAAAAAAACACATTAAATCAGATATTTAAGTGGTCCAGTAAGCTGACCGGGGTGTCACTAGCCAATCTAGAGGCTTTGTACACCAGGCAGCTAAAGGCCTCATTTACACTAGTGCGTTTTAGTTTTAAAACGGCGTTTTAGATCAAAAACGATCCGCGTCCACACTAGCGCTTCACCTAGCGTTTCTGAACATATCTCCATCCACACTACACCACAAAAAACGTATATCACGCGACCATTCGCGCACTCTGGGCATGCCCGTTCTAGCAGAGATGTATAAAGTACTAGAGACCCATACTTAAGTAAAAGTACAAGTGTTCTATCAAAAAGTGACTTGAGTAGAAGTAGAAGTGCTCTTTAAGCACCATACTTAAGTGGAAGTACAAAAGTATTCAACATTTTTTGTACTTAAGTATTGCAAGTAGTTTATTTCAAAATTTACTACTCAAGTACTGAAAGTAAAAGTACAAGTATTGTGTAATGTAGTTATTAAAGAAGGCAGTCAAAAGACATCATATTGTTTTGTTTATTTTAAATATCTTTGGGGCACTTGATTAAGCAGAATGAAAAGAAACATGGCTTACGATACTGTTTTTCTCTGTAAATAATTTCTATGGTACAAGAATTCACATTGTCAGGCTCTTTTACCAGAAAATCACTTCACTGATGAGATAATTCAGCATGTTCATTCATACTCTCTCTCTCTCTCTCTCTCTCTCTCTTTTACACACACACACACACCTAAATGTACTCTCTTACACATTCATACACTCTCACACACAGTTCTCACTCTATCTCTCTCTCTCTCTCTCACACACTCACACACACACACACACACACACACACACACACACACACACTTTTGTGAATTGTGGGGACATTACATAGGTTACAATTGTTTTTATACTCTACAAACTTTTGAATGCTCTAAACCCAACCCTTACAGGAAATTATGTGTAGTTTTACTTTCTGAAAATAATAAATATTTAGTGTGATTGAATTTTATGCATAATGTCCACATAATTCACCATCTCCTCCTAACATCTGTGTAATACCGATGTTGTTATACATATACATGGGCGCACACACACACAAACACGAAATTACACTCTTTTACACTCTCATACACACACACACTCTCTCTCTCTCTCTCTCTCTCTTACACACACACAGACGCACACACAGGTACAATCACACTGTTTCTCTCTTACATGCATTATTCACTCACACACACTCACACTTTGGTAGTTTTGAAGTTTGATTGGTTAATACCACAATAAACAGGAGTTATGTCTTTTGGAAGCAGTCGTGAAACTAAACTAAACAAGCAAACTAAATCCTGCTTCACTAATTCACTTGATTTTGATTTTATTGTAAAAAAAAAAGAAAAAAGAAAAACAGGAAAGTGTGTATAGTACTGTGTTAAAAGAAACTCTAAAATACTTTATGGCTTATGGCTATGGTTTAGTATTATTTTTTTTAAATTTTGATTATGTTTTTAATTAAATTGGTCTTGCACTTATTGCTTTTATATTGCATAAATATATTGCTTTTGTCTTGGTGTGACAGTTATAGGGTTATTTTTAATACAATTTTGTTCTTTAATACAGCAGTCACATATATGAACTGTACCCTTAATTTGACCTGCTTAAAGAAAGCACTCTTTCTGAATGTATCAAACAAAACTCGTGCACAGAAGACAGCACAAGCATTTACAGCTAATAAACTCATGTCAATATTATACCGCCTGCTTTTTGAGCGCTGACAGGCGAGGTCTTATGATGATTGGTTATTATCTTCATCTGCTCAACAGAAAGGGCTTTAGAAAAGAAGCGCTGTTCACCCATGGCGGGAAGAATAGCCGGTTATCACAGGTAATAGACACAGTGGAGAAAACTTGAACATCAGGCACGCTCGTGTCTGGATGGATCGACAGCTTTAACAGCCAAGAAAAGAGGGAAAGTTACCTTACAAACAGGCCAGCGGGTCAAATGTCCAAAGTGAGAAAGAGAGAGGCAGAGGTGAAGTTTTACAACATTTCTCCCTATAGTAAATTAGCGGCTCGTGTGCCGCCTTCACTCGCGCCTCCGTCCTCCGCAATAGTATTGCGACATCGCGCATAGGAGATAAATGACGTCATCACGTAATCACCGGTTATGACCTATTACTGAACTGATATCGATCATTTTGACACCCCTAGTAACGAGTAACGATGCATCACATAAAAAATCTATCGGAGTAAAAGTATTAAACTCATGGAAAATATGTACTTAAGTAAAAGTGGAAGTAGGAGAAAAAAATAACACTCCAGTAAAGTACAGATACTGCCTTTTAGTACTTAAGTACAGTAGTGAAGTAGTTCTACTTCGTTACTATACATCTCTGCGTTCTAGTATAAACAGGAAGCATGCGTCTCGCTCGCCATTTGGTTATTGTTAGTCAACAAACGCCGGTTGAACAATGAACGCGATGGCAAAGAAAGCAAGAGAAGTATTTTTGTGGACAGACGACGAGGTTGAGTTGTTACTAAACGTAACAAATGAATAACTGCACGATGGCGCCTAAAACAGACAATAGTGCAAACAACGCTCCCATTTCTGTGTCCATGTTGTTGTTTACAGTGAAGGCTGGTCTGCTGTCTTCCGGTAGCGTTAAAGCCATGTGTTATAGTCATGTGATAGGGGCTTGACGAATGAGGGAAGGATACGCAATGACACTAAAGCCCCAATCAGCTAGCAAATCTCAGCAGCCCCGCCCCCGTTTTCAGATTTTTCCGTTTTCCCTCATCCACGCTGAGATGAAGCAGCAGCGTTTCAGAATGAAAACGGCCTCTCCAGCTTTTCCAAAACGCTCCGTTTTCGGTGCTCGAAAACTCCGGCGTAGTGTGGACGGATGGCGCAACCATAGCAGAACTTATGCATTTTCAAACTAAAAGGCATTAGTGTAAACGGGGCCTAAGAGAGTTACAAATTCAATCTTAAGTGACACTGCTCATCCCCTACACTCAGAGTTTCAGATCCTTCCTTTTGCTCGCAGGTTTCTAGAATTAAACTGTAGAACTAAATAATGCAAAAACCAGCAGCCAATAGACATTTAATAGACAGTGTTTGGACTCTCAGTAATGATTTTAAACTACACTGAACTGAGCTAAACTGAACTGAACTTAAACACTAAAAACTGAACTACACTGTTCCAGTTCCTATGACCATTTATGTGAAGCTGCTTTGACACAATCTACATTGTAAAAGCGCTATACAAGTAAAGCTGAATTGAATTTAATTTAAATAGGGCATTGACTACAGGGGTATTTTGGGGACTTGTATATTTTAGATTGTTGTAAACATTTATTTGGGGGTATGTGGGGGACTTGAAGTGATTAAAAAAATTTTTTCTTTATAAGTATTTTGATGATTATATGTCTTTATGTCCATTTGTTGTTGTTACTACTGTATGTGAGCTTTATTTTGTGTGGCGCTGTTATCAGATGAGGACTCTTGACTGCAAACCAAATGTACCTTCGGGTATAAATAAAGCAACCTAACCTAACATTTTCCCAGGGATGGGTTGCAGCAGGAAGGGCATCCGCTGCGTAAAAAACTTGCTGGATAAGTTGGCGGTTCATTCCGCTGTGGCGACCCCGGATTAATAAAGGGACTAAGGCGACAAGAAAATGAATGAATGAATGAATGAATGAACCTAACATAACCTAACTTAAAGGTAGAATTCAGGGTAGGGCTGCACGATAGGGCTGTGTGATTTGAGGAAAATCTGTTATTGTGATTATTTTGACAGATATTGCGATGTGATTTACGATCAAAAGAAGTGTTGCTCAAATCATAATTCAAATATAAGAATAATTGGTCAGACTTTACAATAAGGCTCCATTAGTTAATATATTTACTTACTATATTTTTATTTAACTAAAAATTAACAATACTTGTAGTTGATATTAGCCTTAATACTTACAAATGCATTATTAAAATACAAAGTTGTGCTTATTAGGCAAGCCAAGTTTATCTATATAGCACATTTCACGCTCATTTAAAGTGCTTTACATGAAAATAATCACATAGTAAGTATATAAGAAAAACACTACACGTGAAAATGATAAAAAGAGATTTAAAATAATGCACAAAGATGAATAAATACTGTAATAAATGTGCTGTTTATTGTTTGTTCGTTCTACTAAATGCATTAACATTAACTAATAATGGTATCGTATAGCAGTGGTTCTCAACCATGTTCCTGGAGGACCACCAACACTTCATGTTTTGGATGTCTCCTTTGTCTGTCACTCCCAATACAGCTCTTTCAGTCAGATGATCTGATTCAGGTGTGTCTGGTTAAGGAGACAAGGAACATGTGCAGAGCTGGTGCTCCTCCAGGAACGTGGTTGAGAAACACTGCCTCATAGTAAAGTATTACACACACACACACACACACACATACACTACGACCGATTTAGTTCATCAATTCCACAATAGCGCATGTGTTTGGACTGTGGGGGAAACCGGAGCACCCTGAGGAAACCCACACCAACACGGGGAAAACATGCAAACTGGCTCAGCCGGGACCTGAACCAGCGACCTTTCTGCTGTGAGGCGGCAGTGCTAACCAATGAGCCACCCCTATTTAGCAAACACAAACTGAATAATCATTGTGTAAATAACTAAATACAACTAATCTTTGTTAAAGCTATAAATGTTATCCTTTTCTGTGCCTGAGTTCCTTGTGAAATCAATCTCTCTTGAAATGCTCACACAGTCACAGGCCTCCAAAACACACGCAGATGATCAACTTTGACTCTATTGTGGCTCAACTTTGCAACGACTCCACAAATATCATCCATTTACCATTTCAAAGAATTCGTATCCTAAGGACAGGAGCACAACAATGGGGTAAATTCAAAACGGTTCCTCTTTCGCCATCTCATCATATGACCTGTTCGCGTTGCATTGTGAACTGTGCAGAAAAGAAATGAAGAAAAACAAGACTTACCAAGTGTCCTGGTGTGGGAGATCTGGAGTCTTTAAGAGCCGCCGAGGCAGGAACGTCAAGAAGAGGCCATTTCATTTGGAGATACTGCAGGAGACAAAAAGATTTCAACTTTAATAGGAATCAACAACACATCCTACAGCTCGTCTATCTGTCACAGCATTAATAAAAATACATGTTTATTCTTTAATACCTTATTACCTTTTATTATCATATTTAAATAATAAAGAGGCGACATGAGAGCTCAGTGGTTAGCACTGCCACCTCACAGCAGGAAGGTTGCTGTGTGATAAGAAATACTCGTGTTAAAAATTTAAACATCCCTTGGGAAATAAATAAATAAATAAAAATAAAATAAATAAATAAAAATAAATACATGTATAAAAATAAAAATAAATAAATGAATAAAAATAAACAAATACAAAAAATAAATGAATAAAAATAAACAAATAAATAAATACAAATAAATAAAGTAAATTTTTTTTAAATAAATAAAATGAATAAATAAGAAATACTCGTGTTAGAAATTTAAACATCCCTTGGGAAATAAATAAATAAATAAAAATAAAATAAATAAATAAAAACAAATACATGTATGAAAATAAAAATAAATAAATACATGTATTAAAATAAAAAATAAATGAATAAAAATAAACAAATACAAAAAATAAATGAATAAAAATAAACAAATAAATACAAATAAATAAAGAAAAAAATATTAAATAAATACAACGAATAAGTAAAAATAAAAATAAATGAATATTTAATATAAATAAAATAATAAATTAAAATAAATGAATAAATATAAAAAATAAAATAAATACATTAAATAAATAAATAAGTAAACAAATAAAAATAAAAATATTAATAAAAATTTCGTTAAATAAAATAAATACATGAATAAAATGAATAAACAAAAAATAAATGAATAATAAATATATAAATAAATGAATAAAAAAAATAAATAAGTGAATAAAAATAAATAAATGAATAAAAATTAAATAAATAATTAAAATTAATGAATACAAAAAATAAGTAAACAAATAAATAAAAATGAATTATTGAATAAAAACAAACAAATGAAAAAGATTCATTCTAATAAATAAATAAAAATAAATAAACAAACAAATAAATGAAAAAAATGTAATTAATTAATTAATAAAAGCAAACAAATAAATGAATTAATAAAGAAATAAAAATATTTAAAAATAAATATTTTTTCTCACTAACTGAAAAAAATATTTTTTATTCTTTTATGGTTTTCATTACTTCCCCCTTTTCTAATTTATTTTAAATAAAAGCATTTGCCAGAATGATTAATCCTATATGTAGATTCTTCATAAGGATGGTGGTGAAGTAGGAGGCTTTTGTCTCGTCTAAACAAACAGTCTCCAAAACCAGTTTTCTGAGTTTCCACCTTTAACCTGTGTTGAAATTCAAGTTTTTGCGTTGCATAAATAAACGTTTGCCACAGAGTCAGTCAGACATTACACCCGACAAACACACCAATCCACAATTCCTGGTTTTACATCCTACACCGTAACAAATATCAGTTAATTAAGTTTCCGTATTTGGTGTTTTCCCTTTATTTACGGTTGTGAATTGCATAATGGGATGTTGATCTCTGCTCTGTCGACTTATAATGTTGAAAATTCAACTCTACCGTTTAACAAAGAGACATGAAAGAGACTTAAAATGAAGGATTTGCCAAATGTATCTCTGACCACACCAAACATAAATAATTATTTCTTAGCCACAAATTTTAAATATGTCAAAACAAGCAAAATATAGCTGTACACTATACTTTTTATTTAACAAAACATTTGCACAGTAGGCTATAATCTGTCCTGGCTTAAGGTCCCACATCAGCAGTTCACTACACATAACTGGGGAGATAATCTCCCATTAAAGTAATGTTAGTGTCAAAAATTATAATTAAACCATATTAACGCAAAAGAAAGCAGGTAAAAAAAAAACATACAGTGTGATAATGAAAGGATGATCATGCGCACACAGTTAACGTTAGACCCATAAATAATCTGTTCAAAAAAAAAAAAAAGCAAAAGCAACCACTGCTGCTTACAAAAAGACAAATCTGGAACTCTTGAAAGCAGCAAGACTGTGGGTGCATGCTTATCACTTTTTGTCCAGTCTACTTCAAAGTCAAAGTCAGCTTTATTGTCAATTCAACCACATGTACAGGACATATAGAGAATCGAAATAACATTAATATCAGACCCTAAGTGCCTAACATATAATGTTAATACAAAAGTACAGTTTTAAGAAAATGTAATTTTAATATATACACAAAATGTAGTCTAAATATAAATATATATATATATATATATATATATATATATATATATATATATATATATTTATAAATAAAATGTAATCTAAATATATACATAAAATGTAGTCAAAAGAATAAAAAAAGTAAGAATAAAAATATATAAACAATACAATACAATGACATGTAGGGCATATGGCAATGAGAGCAAACCAGAGTTGTGAATATATAGAACAGAGAGAGAACCGTTCTATTTGAAAGAGAACCGTTCACATCAGTTGTGTTTCTAGACACAGTTGCTTCACGCAAGGAAATGGGAGTGCGCACGTGTTTTAAACAGTCGTGCGCATCACCTCAGCTGTTAGCGCAAGTGATTATCCTCTCATTCGGTATTCACCTGCTTTCTATTGCTCGCTCAAACGCTATTATTTTTGTCAGTCACGTTGCTTCTCCATTCTAAGATCGCCTTTGCATGCATATTGGACCATCCTTATTGACGAACCCTGCTTTTAAGAATTATTATCCAGGAAAATTATTTTCCACCAGCCAAAGTGGCTAGTGCGAGTGTCTGTCTCACCCGCCACCGCTGAAATCTACCCGCATTTGGTGGGTGTTAATATCAAGCCCTGGTCATCATTATATTTTACAGGAAAGCCTAAATGCTTTCATACATGTGATATGAATGACACGAGATGTGATCTCTCTGTGATCTTTACAAATTTAGGACTCATCTACAAGTAAAAAATGTATTAATCCGCGGGTCATGTGATCCAAACCGTACGAATCACGGATCAACCCCATTACACCCCTACAATATATAACTTCAATCTAGGCTTGGGCGGTAATACGGTAATCTGGTATACCGCGGGATCTAGAAATAGCAACGGTGTCAGTTTCAATACCGTTAAACTGTCATAAAAAACAATGCACTTATATAGGAGACAAGTAGAAGTATTAAATATTACAATTATTTATTTAATGTCTACAAATGCGTATGCGTGATTGTCATCACGGGACAGTGTGGAGGAGAGAGGGAGGGAGAGAGAGCGGGAGAGGTGGCGAGTCACGCACCAAGTGACCTGCAGTTTGGCAGTATTTCCGGTTTCGACCGAACGAGAAGGGAGACGTGGTAAATACGAACTCTTCTTCGTTGGCCTTAGTCCTGATTGCGGGGTCGGCTCTTTTTGGAACAAGTCCTCCATTTTTAACTATTTCGTGGTAAATACGAACTATAGTTCTGCATTCCCGCTGCTGTACCGCGGGACCCGACCAGATTTCTTGCGGTGCGGAAATGAGTTTCTGAATAAAGCGCGGGGCGGGAGCGGTCGGTAACTCTGGTGTAATTTGAAAGGGAGCTCCTGAGCATGCGCACATCCGCATGGATGCTGTTTGTTTGTTTGTTTGTTTGTGTGTGAATGCGAGAGCGTATTGGTGTGCGTCTCTCTCTTTCTGTGTATGTGTGTGTGTGCACATGCGTTCGTGCGTGTGTGTGTGAGAATGAGAGAGAGAAAACGTCCTGTGCAGATCTCTACTACGAACAAGACAAACAGGTGACCGCGAACCTAAGGTCGCGTATACGGTATTCAGTTTCTGAATGCTGAACAGTTTGATGACGCTCTCTAAAGGCTGATTTATACTTCTGCGTCAAACACCGGCGTAGGCTACGGCGCTGACGCATAGCCCTTCGCCGTGGCCATCGCCGTCACTGACGTGCACCTCTCAAAAATTGTAACTACACGTCGCAACAACGCGTAGCGCAAGCTCTGTGATTGGTCGGCTTGCTAGCGCCCACGAGTCTGGGCGGGACCGAGAGCCGCGCGAATGGCGCGAGCGATTGTTTACAAGTGTGGAGTCCCGTGAAGGAGCTCCAGATGGAAAGTTTTGCTCTGTGTTTACCTCATGGTTAAAGTTGTTGCACGTCCGCCGGTTCCTGCCTCAAAATGAGCGAGTTTGAGTCACTTGTACATCCAGGAAGTGTTCAGAATAGCAAAACAGAAGCGAAGAAACTCGACACAGAGGAACATTTACACCTCACTGCCCACTAGCGTTTCGGAAGTGTTAATGCAGACCAACGGAGACAGCGCGCAGAAGTATAAATGCACAGCAACGCGCGTTGCCTGCGCCGTGAGTTGCGCCGGTCACTTGACGCAGAAGTATAAACCAGGCTTAAGCCTTACGTCATAGTTTTTTTAATTATGCATGGTAATACCAGATACCGGGGTAAAAAAGGGAGGAGGATCTGACGGTATCAAAATTTGGATACCGCCAAAGCCTACTTCAATTAAAATACTACTTCAATCTATTAAAAATGTTTACTTCAAGCTGAAAAATTGTCAAAAGAAAGATCAAGCTCTCATAATGTGATTAAAAAGCAGAAATAAACAGGGGAAAATAAAAACATTGATCACAAAATATAACAAACCGCTAATTTATTTTTTACCGTGTATCCCTAAACACGACACACCTGGAATACGCATATAAAGCCGAATGACTCTGGTAAGGAGATTCAGTGGAAGAAATCAATTAAACTGCGCTCCGAGTCCTCCGCAGATTCCAGAAGTCCAGCTGTTCTTTGTCTTAATTCTTCTGAAAGCTGTGGAGACGGACTCCGAATGCTGTTTAGCACCTGGGAGCATTAGCTGGAACATTTTGGGGGGCCGAGACGGGACCCCGGGGAGAAGGCGAAACGTGAAAAGTTAAATATGACTGCAGGTCCCATGCCCAGCTGGACGGAGAGTATGTGTGTATGTTAGTGCGAGCAACAGCTGGGAGGAAGTCCCACAGCGCAACGGGGAGA